GAGCTCTGAGCTGGAGACAGGGACAGAAATCCCAACAGCTTCCATTTGTATTTCACAGCAGCCTCTGGCAATGGGGTCAGGCTCCAGCACTGGGAGTCTGGTCAGTTTCCCCAGCCCTGCTCAGCGGGGTGTTTCCTGGTTCAGAAATGGGGGAATGTTTCCCCTCCCCCACACCCGCCACCAATGGGCCTGTTCAGAAAATCAGGCCCAGGTTGATTATGTTCCAGCAGGCTTATCAGACCCTGTCCCACCCTGTGCGTTTAACCCCTCTGCAATACCCCTCCCCCACCACCAAAAGCTCCCTAAAACTCCCCTACCTGAGCCGGCTCCATCACAGCCGTTTCCCTGCCCTGTCTCCTGGAAGATGGGCCCATCTGGAACAAACGTGGATGTGATTCCTCGGCCTGTCGGGGCAACAGGGGCGATGGAAGAGATTACAGAAGGGGCTTGAGTCCATGTCCCTCCCCAATTCCCGCCAGGCTCTCTCTCTGCAGACAGACGCTATGATTCTATGACTGCCATGAAAAATCCAGTTAGTTCATTACCTCCACAGCCAGCCCCTCCAGCCCCCATTAGAACTAAACCCACCAAGTCCCTTCTAAATGGGGCCAAACTCACCAGCTGGTCCCTGAAAGGGGCTCTTTGTGCAGAGTCATTTCGCTGCCCGGCTCCAGCCCTTTCCCCAGGTCTCTCCATCACCTGGAGGCTCAGGCTCAGGGGCGGGTATGGTTAGACTGGTTCCAGCCACTGGAGAAAGTGCCCCTGGGCTGGTCTCAGAGGGGTGTGATGAAGCGGAAATGTTCTGAATGTTTTTTTTTAATACCACGTGTGTGCCTCAGTTTCCCCATGTGTTACTCAAATATCAAGCTGGTGGGATACAGGTGTGTGATCATTGCAGAGACTTCTGGAGGGCGGGTATGACTGCAGAGTGGCTGCGTGGGCATAGAGAATGGCCAAAACTCTGTATCCTGGCAAGCAGTGGCCGAAAACGGTCCTCTGCAAGGAGGCAGCCAGCCGAAGGTGTTGGAGAACAAAGAGAGAGGGGGAGACCAGGTGACCTGTTTTCCTGGGAAAGAGAGAAAGCACAGAGGAGGGGCAGCTGGGCATCATTGGGGATGGGGGGCTGGAAGCGGTCAGTCTCGTGGTTTGGGACTCACAGGGGAGAGTCCAGGACTCGGGATTCCCCCCCGCCAAATGGACTTTGTGAATGCTCCTGATTTCTGTGCTAACAAGCTCTGTTCTGTGCTGTGTTCCCAGCGACCAATAAACCCGTCTGTTTTCCAAGCTGGCCGAGAGTCACAGCTGACTGCGGAGGTGGGGTGCACGGCCCCTGTGGGGGAGCGTGTCAGGCTTCTCCTTAGGCTGCCCCCGGGGCTCAGGCTGGGGCCGTGCGCCCTTCCTGGGCTCCGAGTCTGAGGCCACATACTCAGTGGGTGGAGGGGAAGTTGGGTGGTGCTCAGGGGCTTGGGTCCTGCCTCTACAGTGGTGGGGGGGGGAAGCTTTCCTCCCTCAGCCCTAGGTTCAGGAGCACTGCCAAGTTTTCTGCTGCCCCGAAATGCCGCGCCTCCCTCCACTGAAAAACCGCCATGGTCACCGCCCCCCAAATCACAGTGCCCTAGGCGACCCCCTAGGTCACCTAATGGGTTGCGCCGGTGTATCAGCACAAACTGGCTGTACCACATTCTTATCGCCGGCTCCCAGCCCCAGGCAGGGGGCTGAAACAATCTGGTGGGCACTGAGCCATTGAACCAAACTGTAAACCCTGGATAGGATGGAAAACCCTTCAAGCCAGCGGGTGCGGCAGGGCCCCACCAGCCTAGATTCAGCACCTGTGCTGCCCCCACCACCCTGGTTGTGCCCCTGGGACCCGCTCCTTCCCCGGCCCCCAGCTGGGGCCCCCCACCCGGCATTCAGTTTGGCCCCGACCACCTTCTGCCCCTCCCTATTTGCCCCCCTCAGATCTCCCTGAGCTGCAGCCTCCGTCCACAGCAGCGCGGCCAGGGGCAGGGAAACAAAGCACCAGATGGGGGGTGGCGGATGGGGGGTAGCGTGATCCTGCCCCCACCCCGCACATACC